ATCATCAGCTCTCCATCATCCTTCAGTAATCAGCTGCTCACACTTCCTTGGTTAAGGTTACCTATTTCCACAGTTCTATGTTGTGTTTTTGCCTAATTGGGTCAGCATGGGTCTTGTGCATGTTGTCACCATTGTTGCAAGTTCATATGAGAAATTTTCGAGAGACCTGACAGCCCCTGTTTCTCATGTTCACACACCAACCCTGGCTCTTTCAATCTCTCTGCCCCCTCTTCTACAATGATCCTTGAGTCATGTGTGGGGGAGGGTTAATATTGGAGTCCTATCCAGACACATGCACTCTGAAGTCTCTTACTCTCTAAAACTGGGCAAGCTGTAGCCATCACACTCTTTTGTATGAAGAATCTTCATTGGTGAGAGTTGAGGGATGTATGAGTATTCTCTCTACTCCTGTTCCATCAGGTTCCATGAACCTCAGGTTGTAGAGGTTCCACTCTAGATGTGTCACTTAGGGTTGGCCATCTCTCATATATACATTCTTTGTGTGCAACCAGTTGTGGAACTCAGTAATATTCCCCATCTGTTGAGAAAATAAGCTTCGTTGATGAGTGGTGTATGGTATACTTGTCTGTAGATATAGGGATCCGTATTTAGCATAAACTAAGAAATTTAACTTTTCTAGAGATATGCCAGAGATCTGGCCATGTATATTTGGCTTTACAGCTGAAATGGACCATTGATTGATTTTTCTCTTAGCAACTTGCATAGCATCATCTAGAAACACGAGAGCTAGTCTTCCGGTAGGAGGTTTTCTTGTCAGTTCCAGCTCGATTGCTCCATGTTCTGTGTCTGAAATATGTCCTGTCCTCAGCAATAGGGTCTTAACTTCAAGTTCTGGGAAGCAATCAAGGGCTGTGTCAATAGTTTGTACTATTTTGAGCATGTGTTGGATTACCCCCCAAAAAAACTCTTAAGGATGTTTCTCTTTCTGGCACTGTGTTTCTTGTTATAAAGCATTCAGCTATACACATGCACTCCTATTCAAATACTGTATGTGTATCTTTCAGGGGGGTTTTGAGTTAATACATTTCCCCCTGGCTTTCACACCACCTAAGCTTTATCTGTCCTTGTCTAAACTCCCTCTTCCCTCCTTAGTTAAATTACCCCATTTTCCATTTCTCATTTTGATGATACCTATCTCCATTATCCCCTCTCTCTTGAGTTCCTTCTTTCTCTTTGCCCTCATGCCTCCTTGTATGTCCTATCCTCCTCCTTTCCTCTTCCTTGAATACCCCATTTCCCATTTCTACCTTGGTAACATCTGTTTCCTACTGTCCCAGTCTCTTGGCCCTTTCTTTTCCTTTTCCTCTGTGGTTCCTGTCTGTTTCCCTGGCTCCTGCTGACACATCAGGATATATACTTACATATAAGGGATTGGTGCTAAGATCCACAAATGGAGGAGAACATATGTCACTTTTTTTTTCAGAGTCAGTGTTACTTCACTTAGCAAAATAGTTTCTGGTTCCATCCATCTACCTGAAAATTTCATGAGTTTGTGTTTCCTCACCACTGAGTAGAAAGCCATTGTATAAATGTACCACATTTTCCTTATCCATTCATTAAGTGAGGAGCATTTCGGTTGTTTCCATTTCTTAGCTACTCTGAAAAGAGCAGCAACAAACACAGATGTACAGGCATCTCTACAGTGTGAATGAGTCCTTTGGGAATATGCCAAGAAGTGGTATAACCAGATCATATAGTAGATTCATTTTTAGTTTTTAAAACTTTCTAGACACAGCTTTCTACAGTGGTTGCATGAGTTTGAAATCTCACTAACAGTGAATGAACATTCTCCTTTCTCCCCATCCTTGCCACCATTTGGTGTGTTTTTGTTCTCTTGATCTTAGCCAGTCTGACTAGGATAAGATGAAATGTTAAAGTGATTTTGATTTGCATTTCTCTAATTACTAACTATGTTAATCACTTTTAAAGGCGTTTCTTAACCATTTTAATTTCTTTGTTTGAGAACTGTCTGTTTAGGTCCTTAGCCTATCAGTTTGTACTGGGTTGTTTATTTTCTTGTTTCTTTATTTTTTGAGTTCTTTGTATATTCTGGATATTAATCCTCTGTTGGATGTGTAGCAGGTGGAGATTTCCTCCCACTCAGTTTATTACCTCTTCAGTTTCTTGGCTGTTTCTATTGCTGTACAAAAACTTCATAGCTTAATGAGGTCCCACTTCTTGATTGTTGACCTTAATGCCTGAGCAACTGATGCCTGATTTAGAAGATTCTTCGTACACCTATATCAAGGTGGTTACTGCCTACTTTTTCTTTTAACACTTTCAGAGTTTCAGGTTTTATACTGAGGTCTTTGATCCATTTGGAGTGGACTTTTGTACAGGGTGCAAGATAAGGGTTCAATTTTATTCTTCTACATGTGGAGATCCAGAGTTCCCAGCACCATTTATTGAAGATGCTGTCTTTTCTCTGTTGTGTTCTTTGTACCTTTATCAAATATCAGGGGGCTGACATTGTACACACTCACGTTTTGCCTTCTATTATGTTCTATTGATTTATGTGTCTGTTTTGTGACAGTACCATTCTGTTCTATTTTTATTACTCTAGCTCTTAAATATAGTTTGAGATCTTGTGTGGTGATCCCCCCAGCATTGCTGTTTTTTCTCAAGACTGCTTTGCCTATCTGGGTTTTTGTGCTTCCATATGAATTTTAGGATTTTTTTCTAGCTCTGTGAGGAATGTCATGGGGATTTTGATTGGGATTACATTGTATCTATAGATTTGTTTTAGTTGGGAAACCATTTTAACAATATTAATTATACCAATCCATGAGCATGGGAGGTCCTTCTATCTCCTGGTCTTCCTCTGTCTTTTTCTTCAATGATTTAAATTTTTCATTGTAGAATTCTTTAAAGTCTTTGGTTAGGTTTATTTCTAGGGTTTTTGGAGGCTTTTGTGAATGGGGGAGTTTCCATAAATATTTCCTCTATTGCTTGTTATTAGTATATAAAAGGTTCCTTATTTTTGTAAAGTGATTTTGTAATCTGCCACTTTGCAGAAAGTGTTAGTCATTTCTAGGAATTTTCTGGTGGAATTTTGGGATTCCTTATGTATAATATCATCTATCTGCAAATAGTGATAATCTGAGGTGTTCTTTTCCAATTAGTAACTCCTTTAATTTCCTTCTGTTATTGCTCCAGCACAATATTGAAAAGGAGTGGAGACAGTGCACAGCCTTGTCTGGTTCCTGATTTTAATGGTGATGTTTTCAGTTTTTCTTCATTTAGAATGATGTTGGCTATGGGTGTGCTGTATATACTTTTAATTATGCTGTGGTAGGTTCCCTCCAGTCCTCTTCCATCTAGCACTTTTAACTTGGATTTTGTCAAAAGCCTTTTGTGCATTTATTGTGATGACCTTATGATTTTAGACTGTAATTCCCCTTACATGTTTTATTATGTGTATTGACTTATGTATACTGAACCATCACTGCATTTCTGGAATAAAGCCAATTTGAGAGTACTGGCTTGTTGTTTTCTTTCTTTCTTTTTTTGTTTTTTGTTTTGTTTTGTTTTGTTTTGTTTTTGTATTTTTTTTTTTTTGTTTTTTTTTTTTTTTTTTTTTTTTTGGTCTTTTGGAGACAGGGTCTCCCTCTATCCCCAGGTGGCCTGGAACTAGCTATGTAGATTAGGTTGGCCTTGAACTCACAGAGATCCACTGCCTATGCCTCTCACATGCAGGGACTACAGGTATGCACCACCAAGCCCAGCAATTTTGTTGTGTCTTTTCCTGGTTTGGGTATTAGAGTGATACTGGCTTCATAGAAGGAGTTTGGGAGTCCTTCCTCTGTTTCTATCTTTTCAAATAATCTAAGAAGTATTGATTGCAGATCCTTGAATGTCTGATAGAATTTTGTTGTCAGTCCAACTGAGCCTGTAATGTTTTTTAGTTGGGTGGTTTTAGTATTGCTCTTTCAATTTCCTTATTTGTATGGGTTTATTTAAGCTGTTGATTTCTTCTTGAAATAGCTTTGGTGGTGTCCATGAATTTAGAAATTCATCCATTTCTTTTAGATTTTCAACTTTAATAAAGCATAGTTTTAAAAAAATATTTTATTTTTTAGGTATATGAATGTATTGCCTGCATGGATATAAGTGCACCCGTGTTGTGCAATGCCCATGGAGGTCAGAGGAGGGCATTGGATCCCCTGGAACTGGAGTAACAGAGGATTGTTAGCTGCCATGTGGGAATCAAAATCAATCTTTTTGAGAGAAGTCAGTTGTCTTAACAGCTGTGTCATCTCTCCAGGCCTGAGTATATAGATTTTTATTATAGTCCCTTATGATGTTCTGGACTTTTTTTGAACCTGTTGTGATGTTTCACATTTCATCCCTGATTTTGTTAACTTGGATCTGCTCTTTCTTTTTTTTCTGCTTAGCTGGGCCAAGGGTCTGTCTACCTTATTTAAGTTTTCAAAGAACCATCTCAGATTCATTGAATGCTTTTATTACTTTCTTTGTTTCTATTTCATTTATTTCTGCTTTAAGCTACCCTCTTAGAATTGCTTTTAAGGTGTCCCAGAGGCTTTGTTGTGTTGTATTATCATTTCTATGTAGTTCCAGGAATACTTTTCTTTCTTTCTTTTTTAATGTCTTCTTTGACCAATTCATCATCCAGGAGTGTGTCGTTTAATCTCAAGGAATTGGTGTAATGACTAGAGCTTTTTTTGTTGTTGAATATAAGCTAAAAATCTTAAATGTTTAAAATTCATTTTACTTTAAATAAGTGAGGAAAAGATTGAATCTAAGATAATTGCTTTAAGAAGCAGTAGCATGAATGAAATTATGTAGTAATTCACTTAATTAGTTTTCAAAGTGAAACAAACACACATTATCATTTCAAGTTTTTTCTGGTTTATAGTTTCACTTCTTTTTCACACAGGACTTCTAGAGAACCATAGTTGAGGTGTTCTTGAGGGAAGTGACATCTGAGTGATCGAACCTAGGAGGTTTTTTTTTTAGACTTAGAGCACTGTGGGAGGAAACTCCTTATTCTGTTGCCAGTGATAGATTGCAGCATCATCGTCCTCGACAGGATTAATGGTGAGGGTGAAATCTGTCCCAGACCCACTGCCACTGAATCTGGCAGTGACCCCAGGTGCTACATTAGATGCTGCATAGATCAGGAGTTTGGGAGGTTGTCCTGGTTTCTGTTGATACCAGTGCATCATATTTATGCCAATAAAATTGACACTCTGACTGGCCTGGCAGGAGATGGTGACTTTCTGTCCTAGAGAAACAGCTGAGGAAGCTGGAGACTGGGTCAGCACAATGCCCCCAGTGGAGCCTGGAATGATAAAACACACAAAAACTACCTTTACAGACATATTGAGACCGCCCCAGTGTAGGACAATTAAACATGACACCTGTAACAAGAGTCAGAGGCATCACTGTGAGTCACTAGGAAATAAAAGAGAAGTGAGAAACTTAAAATGAATTACAAATCCCATAATTGAAATTATCAAGAGATTAAATATGGAAAACAGCAATATTTTCAGGGAATGAGCCAACTCTTTTCTACATTTTCTCACCTGGAACCCAAAACAGTATCACCCCAAGCAAGAGAGTCAGTGAATCCATCTCTAAAGAGCCAAAGTAGAGACTGCTTCTTAAGATACTGACAAGCTGCATTTAAAAACGCTTTGAGCAACCTGAACCATCATACAATTACTGAACATGCAAATCAGCTCAAAAATGTATTGGTTGGTCCTCAAAGGGGCACCTTCATTTGTTTTTCTCATTGGTCACTGGGGTTAACAAAGACTCTGCTGGAGTGTACCAAGTATACTTTAAGGACTTGTGCAGCCTGTTCTGTTGAATCTCTACCGTCTAGTCTTTTTGGGGTGCTGTACAGAAGAGTGCACTGTAGAAACTCCAGTTAAAACTATGGGAACTATTTCAGGAACCCTTTGGTCTCTGAATGATATTGTGATTTTCAAACAATAATGCATTTCACATTGTGATTCTTGGTAAATAGAGAACACAACTAAATTTTATAAAGACATGTCTTAGTCTGATTACAGAGGACGGGGGAATTGATGATGCTATGTGGCCTTTAAGCCAAATCTAGAAATCTCATCATCAGGAGCTGTGAATCTGAGAGTCATGAGCCTGGAACACAAATCTTGCTCTTGCTCAATCACTTCTTTTTTATTAGTTTTTTAATTATTTTATTTTTTATAAATAAATAATTTATTGAGAATTTCATACATACATAGAAGGTGTTTTGATCAAATCCATGCACACTCCTTCCCCTTTAACTCCTCCAGTATCTCCCCATCTCTTTTTTCTGATAACTTCATGTAGTCTTTCTTCTTTTTGATTGATTATATTAGGCTTTTGGCTACTGTAACATTTCCCCCTCTCAAGAGGTAACCATAAACTCTTTTAAGGATTAGATACAAGCTACCAAATACTTTCAATATTTTTTGCCTTTAGAACAGAGTATGTTGCTAAAAGGCCCAAGGACTTTTAGCCAAGAAACAAGCTACTTTTCTTTGGGGTCTTTTTACCCTAACTGCCTAGCCAATTCCTACCTCCTATTCTTATCATACCATCCTCTGAAGGGGTTACCGAAATTGCCAGTAAGGAATAGGGATGCAGACCGCTCTGGCTTCTTCCATGCTGAACAGGGATGCAGAGTGAGGCAATTGGAGTACCCCTTCAGTGGGACTATCTAAAAGACGCCCAAATTGCATAACTCTTATCTCCAGGGGGAAAAGAACGTCCTTGAATCATGACTAGGAGATGTGAAGGAGAAGAAAAGGCAAGAGTAATGAGCATTACAAGTTCTAGCTAGAGAACTAGATAAAAGTCAGAACAGGGCAATTTTCAAATGTTCATATGAGAGCCTGTTGGAATTTCTTGACAAGGGCTTCCAAAATCATCCCTGTATTGGGTTCTTCCTCATTTTTCTTTTGTCTTCCAAGGCTGGCCTCTAGAGTGATGGATTCAGGATTTGCTTTCAGGTATTTTGATAACTGTTGGAGTGGTAAGAATCAGTGTCAATTCCCTCTCAAAAGCTTCTATATATGGGGAGAAAACAAATTTATCCATCATTTTAGAAAAATAGCTGGTTGTCTCCTTTAACTACAGATGGGCACTACAGTATTGGAGACCAAGATTTGAGGTCCTACATCTGAACAGCACTTTTTCGTTAAGAATAAAATCATCAATGAGAAATAATTGTCTAAATAACTTTTTATATAGACTTGAGTCTAATGTCTGGGAAGTATAATCCCTTGAACTCTTAAGGAAATACACTGATGACTTTACTCTTTGGTTATACTTTCCCTTTGGGTGTTTAAGACTGTACAGTTAGCCCAAATAAATCAATTTATTTTTACACTTAAGGTCATTTGAGTATCTGTTCCTCAGGGGTCACATGGGCTTGAGAGGAGCTCCTGGCTCCTTTCTTTTACCAGTTCCATCTATGTGAAGATAAGTCAAAGGTCCTGCTTGACCATGTCTGGCTTCATTTGGAAGTACTAATGAGATGTTTCCTCTGAGTTGACCCTCTTCTTTGTAGACTCGGCACTGGTTCTAGTCCATCTAGTGGGGTCTTCATGTCCTACCTGAACAAGAGGACAGGTGACTCACCACAGTTACAGCTCATTTTGAGAGATGTTCCATAGTCCCCTGGAACTTTGTCGACCTTGGAGGGCAAGGGGCCTTTAAGTCCCTCTGACCACATTAGTATAAGCCTCAAACTATTAAACATCCAATAAGTTAGTTCTACCAGTCTGGTACTTTTAATTAATTAATCATGTGTTATGTAAATATGGATTCTGTAAAAAACCAAATATTCTCAAATAATCCTTGAGTAGATATATATTTGTTCCTTATACTGCTTGATTATGCTATGACCATAGACATTTTAAGATTATGTGTGTATTATTTTTGTTTCATCCTTTACATATCATAACAAACCTAAACAGATCTTCATCACTTGCTTAAGCTTTCTCATTTTTTCTATTCTAGAAAATATCTACATTTCCCATATCCTTTCAACATCTTTTACATTATCATTTTCATTTTTAAAAAATAATTATGAGACATAGTAGCATTAGCAAATAAATATTCCATCTGTTGTGAGACTTTTTTCTGGAGATGCTAAGCAATTCTTATTCCCTTTTAAGGTTCTAGTGTCAAGTCAATGTTTGATTAAAATTTTACTGGGGAATCAATGAATTTATTGAGCTTACTTACCAGACAACAGAGGGGTTGCTGAGGTGTATGTATGACCTGAGGATATGCACACTGGATAAACTTAATCCAGCATGGGTCATGCCTTCTCTTCCTAGCCTTCCCCAAATTGTATACTTTAGGCCTCCCCAAATACAGGAGACCATGTGTGATTAGGGTCAAATTACATACAGCTGGCTGGGAAGAGTGGCTGGATACTCTAGTGAGGGTCCAATGACCCTGCTTGGCTATCGTTTAATGAATGAGCACAACTGTCAGCAAGTCCGTTTGTGACAATGTTTAGCGATCAGGCTCAGCTGAAGTTGTGATGATGGTAGTTATTTCATGCAGAAGGGACTGCTGTATAGCATCATCTTATTAAAAGGACCTGGAATTTAAAATGATTTGGTGCTAAGCCCCACAAATGAGGGAGAACATTTGTTTGTAGTTTGTTTTTCTGAGTCTGTGTTATTTCACTTAGTATAACAGTTTCTAGATCCATCCATTTACCTGAAATTTTCATTATTTCATTTTTCTATACTGCTGAATCGAACTTCATTGTGTAAATATACCACATTTTTGTTAACTACTCATCAGTTGAGGGGCACTCAGGTTGCTTCGATCTCTTAGCTATTGTGAAAAGAGAAGCAACAAACATACCTATACAAGTGTCTCTCCAATAGGATGAGTCCTTTGGGTATATGCCAAGGGGTGGTACAACCAGGTCATATGGAAGGTTCATTTTTAGTTTTTTAAGAGTTTTCCACACTGTTTTCCATAGAGGTTGCACTAGTTTGTAATCCCACCAGCAATTAATGAGCGTTCCCCTTTCTCTACATCATCACCAGCATTTGGTATCATTTGTTCTCTTGATCCTAACCAGTCTGATAGGGGTAAGGTGATACATTAGGGTGGTTTAAATTAGCATTTCTCTAACTACTAATGATGTTGAACACTTTTTGAGATTATTCTTAGTCATTTTATTTCTTCCTTTGAGAACTTTCTGTTTAGATCTTTAGCCCATCTTTTAATTGGGTCATTTGGTTTCTTAATTCTTTGTTTTTTGAGTTCTTTATATGTTCTGGATGTTAAGCCTCTTTTAGATGTGTCACTGGTGAAGATGTCTTTCCCATTCTGTGGGTTTTCTCTTCACTTTTTTTATTTTCTTTTCCTGTGCTGAAGCCTTTTAGTTTAATGAGGTCCCACTTGTTGGTTGCTGACCTTAGTTCCTGAGCAACTGCTGTCTGATTTAGAAAATCCTTTCCTATACCTCTATTTTGTAAGTTACTGCCAATATTTTCTTCTAATAGTTTCAGGGTCTCCAGTTTCACATTGAGGTCTTTGATCCATTTGGAGTTGACTTTTGTGCAAGGTGAAAGATAAGGATCTAGTTTTATTCTTCTATAGGCAGAGATCCAGTTTTGCCAGCACCATTTGTTGAAGATGCTGTCTTTCCTTCGTTGTGTGTTCTGATTTTTTAATGTAGGCACTTAGAATTATAAATTTCCCTCTTAGGATGATTTTAATGTGTCCCAGGGGTTGTGTTGTATTGTCCTTTTTGTTGAATTCCAGGAATTCTTTTATTTCTTTCTTAATTTCTCCTTTTACCTACTCATTGTTTAGAAGTGTGTTGTTCAATCACCATGAGTTCATGTAGTGACTGGGCTTCGTCCAGTGTTGATTTTGAGCTTAATTGCTTTGTGGTCCGATAGAATGCATGGAATTATTTCAATATTTTTGTGTTTGTTGAGGCTTGTTTTGTAGCCCAGTATGTGGTCAATTTTTGAAAAAGTTCCATGAGGTGCTGAGTAGAAAGTGTATTCTTTGGTGTTTGGGTGGAATAATCAGAAGATTGTTAGATCCATTTGATGTAAGGTATCATTTAATTCAGATGTTTCTCTGTTCATTCTTTGTCCAGTTGAGCTGTCTAATGGAGACAGTGGGGTATTGAAGTCCCCTGCTATTACTGCATTGGCATTAATCTGTGTCTTAATGTCCTGTAGTGTTGTTTTTATTAATTTGGGTGCACTGGAGTTTGGTGTATATATGTTAAGGATTGTAATATCTTATTGGTTAACTGTTCCTTTGATCAGAATGAAGTGACCCTCCTTACCTCTTCTGATTAGTTTAACTTTGATGTCTATTTTGTCACATATTAGAATTGAAACTGCTGCTTGTTTCTTAGTACCATATGCTTGGAATATTCTTTTCCATCTTTTTGTCTTAAGGGTGTGCCTGTCCTTGAAGGTGAGATATGTTTCTTGCAGACAGCAAAGAGATGGATTTTGTTTCTTATTCCATTCCCTTAGCCTATGTCTTTTGACTGGGGAGTTCAGTCCATTGATATTTAAGGTTATTATTGAAAGGTATGTATTGGTCACCATCATGTTGATTGC